CCTAACAATAATTTTAAATTATGTAAAAAAAAAAAAAAAAAATAAAAAATCTAGTTTAATAGTAAAAAATTTCTAGTGGTACTAAAATTTTGAAAAGTTTTCTAATATTCTTTTTAATTTTATCTCCTCATGATGATACCAAGTACATATTTCCAGCTGTGTTTGATTTGGCAGTGAATAAATGGGATAATTTTTGTTCATAATTAAATTGTAGCTATAAAAAAACCATCAGCACTGCTAAGAATATTTGACTAATTAGAAGGTGAGAAATATTTCAATGTTACATATTTTTACTACTTTACAAGTTATTTAAAAGCTTGCATTTTCATCAAGCTTCCAGAAAAACCAAGAAATATTTATTGTATCCCCCAAGTGAAGCTTGAATACCTTTTCTCCTTTACAATTTTTGAATGACCCAGCAAGAGCTCTAGTAAAGCTTTACTGAACCAAGCTGCTAATAGTTATTTAATGTTGTTCTTCAGCCTGAAAGAATCGCTGTAGATTTTCCTTTTAATCTCTTTGAACTGCAGGCTCATAAACCTCTCTGATGAGCCCTGCCAGTGTTTTTCTCAGATCCTACAGTTGAGACAATGGAGCTGCAGAATCCTTTCACCTCTTGTTGTCAGACAAATCCAATAGAATGCAAGGTCACAGGGCCTGTACTTCTAAAGATTTAAAGATGTGTTTTCCAAGTTATTATAGAAAAATCAGATATCATCATAATTTCCATCTATGTTCGGGAGTGTAAAATTCAATTTTAGGAGCTGAACACATACACATTAAAATGCATTTGGATATTGCGTGTATTTTTATTAATATAAAAAATAGACCTAAGCATTAGTATGAATATCAGTGCTGAATAACCTTTTATATCTCAAGACTATAAGAAACCTGAATTAGTTTCACATCAAAATAATCAGCCGCTAGGCAAGACTGTAAGATACATGCTAACATAGTTAAAACAATGTGAAATAATACAAATTGCAGACTCGCAAATATATTCCTTAAGTTTAAATCAGGCTTCAGTTTCTTTAATTAAATACCTGTCCAAGCCAATGATCAATTTGTATTGGCTTAAGTCATGTTAGATTGGAGTTCATGTTGAATAAAGTTAGAAACAAGTCAGATGTATTCAGTTTTGAAAAATAAATGTCTTCTGATTGAAGCAGACAAACAAATAACAGCACCGTACAGTGATTGACAGTGAATACACTGGACTGAATGTTATGTTTGGAGGCTTACTCAGAGAAGAGGACAATCTAATTTAAAATTAACTTTTTTTGAAAATAACCTAATTATCAAATTGCTGTTGGGCATAATTCCAGATGAAATCTCAGATTAGCTGTGATTTGGTTGCAGTGATACATGGTCACATTTTGGAATTGCATGGAAGATGAATTTGGCTTGTTGAGGATTTTATAATTGCAGTAGTGGAGAAGGAAATCAGAGCTGAAATCCTAAGCATCAGACCCCATCCTATGTGTCACATGGAGTACGAGAGATGGTGGCCTTATTTTTCAGCCACTCCTCTCATTTACGGAGTAATATATTTATTGCAGGAAGCAGGGTGGGGATTGAGAGAGTCTCCCTTCTGTCACCACTCCTCTCATGTTTGCTTCCAGTGTGTGCTGAAATTGACTGCGTAGTAACCTCTCCCCTTTCACTCTCAAGCAAACATCCTCCTCTAACCTACATCCCTTTTTATGGGACACTGGCTCTGACATAAATGCCGCTTTGTAAAATCTGTGCCTGGAAACAGACATCTTTGGACCGTGATCAGTTGTGTTGCAATATGTCATCTTTGGAGCATGAGCACGCTTCAGGGACATCTACAGACATCCCTGGTTGCCATGCCCCAAGTTGGTGCACATATGCAGGCAAGGAAAACTTGGGTTTCCCCCCTCTGTATTTGCAGGTGTGCAGGAAAAACCCTCTGCAAGAAATTTCCTTGCACTTGCCTGCAAATATGGAGGGGGAACCTGAGTTCCTCCCTCTGCACTTGCAGGTACACTTGAGAAAATCCCTCTGCAAGGGATTTTCCCACATGGGTCTGCAAATGTGGAGGTGGTGGGGGATGGGTAGGAACTCGCACAGGGATCCCTCCTGTGCAAGCGCACAGGAAAATCTCACTGCATGGGTTGCGTGCCCCAAAGCCCCAGCTGTCTTTGCTTACCCAGGCACAACTCCTGGACAGACATGTCTGGACAAGGGGAAAAGTGATACAGGCACTCTGCCTCTCAAGCCCATGAAGCTACTGCGCAGGGAGGCTGGAGAGCCCAGGTAGCTTCATTCAGCCTGAGCTCTTCTGCTCTAAGTAAACAGACATGGTCTGTGCCCAATTTAATACTGCCTTCTGTCGCGGCCACAAATTTGAACATTTGTGGCTGCGAAGGAGAGGATGGATCTCTGTTTGCTTTCACTTTGTACTGCCATAACAATTTTTATGGAGACACAAGGGTGACTTTTGTTTCCCCTCTGTGATTGGTGGCCTCTTTTTTAAGTTTTATTTCCGTATACAAGTGAAGTAGAGAAATGGTGGGACCTCCTAGTGTGGTCACCTTTTTTCCCACTCTGTGTTTTCAACACTGAACAAAAGGTGCTGGAGTACAGTCCTCTGTAACTTCTTTAAAAACCTTTGAAAAAGGAGAAGGTGTTCACATCTTTCACCTTGTTCTTTCTCCTGTCCTTTGAAGAGAAGAGGTCCTATATTCTCCCTGCCTCATTAAAAAGGAGAAACAGTAATTATGTAGGTATTGAAATACATACAAATAGCATTACAGTATACTTGAGATAAATTAAGAGCACTGAACTTTTCTTTGATTTAAGACACTATCTTAGCCATATTAAGTACTATTTTGAGGAGGTGGTAGAAAACTAAAGAATATTCAGTCCCACTCCAAATGACTAATTTCTGATTGAAAAGCACCATTACAGCTCTTATTTAGCAAGATCAGAGCAAAACCAGCAATAAGAAATATTGGTTAATAGCTGTATCCTCCATTTTGCCCCTCGGTCTCTTTTTTCTTCTTCTGACAGCAGCAAATTTGGATATCAGTGGATTAATTTTGTTTTAATCCTTACTTCTTTAATGTACTGTAGGTGTTCAGCATACATTAGATCATGGAGGTTTTATTGATCCTGTCATCTATAACTTGTCTGATATGTTTTAATTGCCTTCTTTATAACTAATTGAGAATGTGATTCATTCCCAGGGAATCTATACTGTAGATTTCAGATAAACGTAGGATCATAATTTAGTTGTCTAAAACACCCAGGCAATTCTATAAGTCACTCTTAATATGATTGCTAATTAGGTTTTATCATTGTGTAAGAGAGCTGATATATCACCATTCCCTTTTATTATTGATATTTTACTATTGACAAATGATATTCATAGCTAACTCCTGGGATACACGTGTGAAACTGATACTATGATCAGTCCTTGAAAGAAAAAACCCACAAATCACGTAGTTTTTGTTCAAAGATGCATCTAGCTGACGAAGCTTAGAGAAAGTTCTGATTAGTAACTGGCATAGCCAGACTTAGATAGTTGCTTCGTACTGTCTTGCCACAGCACTCCTCTGCTGTCAAGTTAAGACTTGACATTGTGAATCACTTGTTCTACACAGTTAATATTTGAAATTGATTTATATAATATTGCTGTTTTATTCTAAAAAACACACGGTATTTAACTTATAAAGTGCTAAAGAAGGCAATAGCTGCCAAAGCTAAGGCATGTCTTATCCTTGTGCAAAAATATAACTTTTGGGTACCTAAGGACCTATAAAGTGAAAAGTGTAAGCGTCTCCAAGGATAGGCAGCAGCTCACAGGTGGAATTTGAAGGTTATAATTTTGGATTTAGGTGCTAGAATTCTGCCTGAGTCCTGTTATGGATATGGATCTGTGTTGCTTGACCAGTAGCCCTATCACAGGTGAAACCTACACTGTCAGTTCTTAAGGCTTTTTGTAAATAGTGGGCACATCTACATGAGATACTACTGCACAGTAGGTTAGTCTTTTCTTTCAAGGATGGATTAGTAGATTAAACTACTGTGCTGTAAAGCATCACCATCTACATGTGCGCAACATTTACTTAGTAGTATAGTCCTGGTCAGCCCAGACAGCAGGAGGTGGGGGAACTGTTCCCTCCTCAGGCAGCTGTTTCTTAGCCCTGTGCTCTGGGGCTGGGAAACAGCTGCTGGGGGAGGGGATGATTTCCCAGCCCTGTGTCTTGATCTGCCAGTTGGGGCACACGTCTGAGAGGCAGATGCCTCAGAGGTTGGACAGCATGCCCTGGAGCCCAGGCCTGACTCTAGTGTTCCCTTCCAGGCCCAAAGTGGCACTTGGGGAAGCCTGGAGCTCCCCCTAGCTGCTATAAGGGAGCAGGGCAAGGCAGGAATAGTCCTGCAATGAATGACTCCCATTGGGAGCAAATTTGCTTCCGATGGGCACATGTGTAGACATGCTCCCAGGGAAAACTTACGGTGAATTAATAGCACATGTAGATGCACCCAGCATGTCTCAAATACAAGTATGCCAACTAGTAAGGTACAAAAGCTAATAATTCTTCCAGTATGATGCATGAAATTATGTTGTCTCTTTTGCATCTCACATCAGGCTGCAAAGAAACTCCCATATAGAGACTTGCTCTCAGGCCACTTAAGTTGGAAAAACAGTAAGGTTGTGCCATGAGATGCAAAAGCCTGAGCAAGTCACTGTAAAGCTATTTAAAAAGACTGTGTTCACAGGTGGGACTTCCTTACAGTGAGTAGATGTGGCTAGACAAGGAAATACTAATTTACAAGTAAGAAACAAAATTATCCTCTTTTCATCAATCCTAACACAACATCTGTCACTGTTTCCTTATAGAAGATGATCTCACACAGGAGTGGCCACTGGATGCTCAAATATATCTTGAAGACATGTCCTGGAATAATGGTACAAATGTTTCACTTTTTATATTGGAAATAAAGCAGTCTTGTATAGAGCTGTTGTGGCTGCTTTCAAAGTCTTTGAGTCCTCTTACCTTTCGCAATGTCTGTGATAATTGGAAGAGTTCACTCACATTTTTATATGCTATTTGACATCTTATTGTTTTGTGTAAATTTCTTGGTGGTGTTAACTTTCTCTTCAAAATTCTTCTTACCTGCCAGGGTTTTTTCTTTCTTTTTTTTCTTTGGTTTTGTTATGTTGCTTTTCTTATGAGTTTAACTTTTGCATTTATGGCTATTAATATGGCTGCAGTACTCTCCATTGTGGCCTGCTATTTTTCTGTTTTTCCCTATCAGACCCCTTCACTCCTATCTTCAAAATCAGGTGACAGTGATTCCTGTTTTGCTGTTATTGAGTTGGAATTGCCAGTTGCCTTTCTGCAGTATTTGGCACTGCACTTCTTTGAGCCCTCTCATTTTCGGCTTTCTGACAGAAGTTTGCAGGGCTACTATGCAGCATCTGAGTTGTCTTCTACTATTACATTTGATTCTCTAGACTCTTTTCTTCTTGGTTGGTGGAGAAGTAGCATCTCCCTACAAGGAGCAAGTCCCTCCTGGGTCCCCTGCTTTTGCTGCGACTATTCTTGCACATAGCTTTTTCCATTTTGACCCAATGTCACTTTTCTCTTACCCATTATCTTAAAATCAGTTAGTTGATAAAAACACCCCAAGTTATTTAAAAAAAATCTTGGAAAGAAAAATGCTTCCTCCTTTTCTTTGCTTATTGTTGCCTTACTGTCTTCCTAACTTACTACTTTAACAAAACCACAAATTGTTCTGTTATTACTGTGCCCAATTTTTTAATTAATGGAAAACTGCACTAAACATGCTATTTGACTTCCTAAGAGTTAAGGAACTCACATGGGGGACGGAAACATTCCTTGATTTTGGACTCCTCCTAGAACTAGTTCTGTTTTTTCCTCAAAGAATTAAAGTAGAGCCCCTGGCAGATGTTATACTTAAAATCTGATTAACCAGTTACTCACATCTTAAGTAATAACCTGGCCACACATTAATGTAATTAATCGCACAATAAAACAAGGAGTAAGTCCCAAGGTTATTACACAAAAATGTGTAATAACTTTGTGGCTGGTTCCCATCATGCTTAAATTGCACATGGGGCCAAGCATCAGCTAACTGGGGCTCCTGGCCTTGGGAGTGCATAAGACCCTGATCAGCTGACTGCCACTCCCAGCTTCTGAGATGCATGGAAATCGAGGGTTGTACCAGTCAGCTGCTACTTGCTGGTACAGCGGAAGCCCAGGATCATGATCCTAGACTCCCTTGTACTGACAACGTTGTGCAATTGGGATCTGATCCCCAATCCCATCTCTTGCCATGCATGTGTAGCATGGCAGGAGACACAATTTTGGGGATCACATATAAGATCCCATCATGCTTTTAAATGAATATCTGCCAGCAGCCTAAAATACATAAAAAAAGGATGGGAGAATAGACCAAAACCCTTGAAGACTCCCCCTCTTCAAGCAGAGCACCCTAAACATGAGGCTCATTAGATCATACCTTCTCTTGTGCCCTCTCTTCCTAAACCCATGAATCTTGTATTTCTTCCTGCATAATGACACATCTTTAGCAGGCTATGTGGAGTGCAAAACCTATAGACTGGTGGTTAGAACACCTTCCTAGGAACTTGGAGACTAGCATTTGAAACCCCTAAGGTCAAGGAAAGCACCTGAACCAAGATACCTTACTTCCCAGCCAAATGCTCTGACTGTGAAGTTATTACATGTGTCATGTTTTGTTATATATGGGTAGACTTTTCATTCAGCAATTTTTTTTGTAAAAATAAAGCAAATACTACTACATTTTGTGAGAAGTCTGGTGTTATATTGGAGCTGGATACCTAACGGATTGGGCTAGTTAGGGTCATAAGCATTATTCCACCTCACTTTTAGATCCTAATGGGGCTTAAGCAAGAGCCAGGTGCCTAGTTGTAAAGGGTAGAACAGTTCTGGGCACAAACCAGAAACAAAACTAGATGCTTACACGTTTTTAGATCAAAGAGGCACCTACTAATTTTTAAATATCTCCAGAGTTAGGTGGCCTGATGGGTGAGACGGAAGGGTTTGGAAATCAGTTTAAGTGACTTTAGCTGCCTAAGATGCTTTCTCAATTTGACTTAAGGTTTTGTTTATTTGTGTTTCATTTTTGTCTCAACAGATGAACAATGCTATACTTTCTTATGTCGGTGTGGTGGGAAATACACTATCTCCAAGAATGAAACTGAAGAGGTTTCCCTGGTTTGCTGTGACACATGTTCACTAATAATAGAGATCCTTCGCTGAATAAGCAACTGCTTCACTCAAGCACAATGAAAATGAGTTTCATCCAGCCAAATATTCCTTGACACATTTATTATTCTGTCCACTGAAAAGGTGTGCCCTGTAAGTACCAGCTTAGTCTCAGATCCAAGAAACCCTTTTTTTTTTTAAAGTTATGAGCTATTTTTAAAGAGCTATTAATGCTTCTAGTAAATAATAATAATAAAATCCTTCTCTACTCTTAATCTAACATGAACTATCAAGTGTGGGAAAATGGTGCTAGTTTTCATTGATTTGAAAACCTTATTTACTTAGCACAACCATGAGTGCTCTTAACTTTTAATTAACTAAGGTTCCATCTTCTAATCTAGATGACATGCTTTCCTCAACTAACAGTTGAGGAGCATTTCCTCTCAACCTAAGACCATATGAACTGCAGCTGGGGCACTACCATCAAAGACGTTAAATCCCATGTAATAGCCCAGAAAAACAAGTTACTCTGCAATCAATTAACATGAGATGTGATCTTCTGAAACAGAACTATTAGAATCTGAATATGTCTAAAGATAGAATTCTCAGAAAGCAACATGCAATGTGCTAATAACCATAAGTCACTATATACTGGTGCCCTGTAAGATTGTTTAATTATTGAAGTTTTTCATAAATTGCATATTGTATGTCCAACTACCTGCTAGTTAGTGTTGCTAGTGGTTCTGCTTCAAGGTTTTACATGGTGATAGGTAACATGTCAACCAGTGTTTTGTTCTAAAGTCACTTATACTTTAAGTTTTAACATTTCCAATTGTTTTATGAATGGAACATTTAAGATCCACATTTTTCTCTTTTGTATGTATATGAGGACTCACTACGAATGGTCAGCTGAATAAGCAAAGCATTTATTTCCATTGGTGACTCCAGTGCACTTCTTTGTACACTTTAATAAAATGGGACTACGGTCAGAAAAACTTTGATATAAATCATTCTCACACAATGTTTTTATATTTATTGTAAATAAGACGTTTATTTGAATTTGTAGAAAAAGTTAGTTAGCAGAATTCACATAGCTGTCTTAATCATCAATAAATCTATGGCCATTGGGGCTAGCACGTAGAAATCCAAAATCATTCAGAGGCCATATCTGTAAAATAAAATGTTAAAAATTAAATAAATCATTACAGCTCTTTAATTTCAGTGTTTCTATACTATCATTTTTGTTGCAAGTGCTTTACATATATTACATCAACTTTTAATTATATAAGGGGATGGTACAAGGATGAGGAGATTTACTTACCTGTGAATTTTCTTTACTTCCTTTTATGTCTGAATGTATCTACTGGGAGGCATTAAACTATACAGCCTCGGTGAGGTAGAACAAAATTTGACAGTAGGACTGCCCTCCTTGGAGAGTCCTAGAATTAAGGTTTCCAAAGCTGGAAAATACTAGTAGAATATGAAGTCACCTAAGTTCACCAGGTAAACCTTGCAAAAGAGCCTTAGGAAGCAGAAAGTATTCCTTTAAAAAACATATTTTTTTTTCTGGAGAGTCAACAACTCTAGTTCTGAGACAAACTAATTACACACCTCCAGATTACTGCTAGGCTTTCCCCACAAAACTCCATTTGAAGACAATTTTGCAAATTCTTCATGAAAATATATACTGATACCCATACAACTGCTTGACAGATTTCTTCACTTGACCTTAGTCAAAAGGCCAAGAAGCACAAAAAACTTTCTTCCCTGCAGAAAAGCTGAGCCCCACAGGGAATGGATTGTACAGTTAACCAGTGAATTCATTCCAGATGTATGGCTGAAACTTACAGATCATTCCTCTATCTTGCAAACTGATGAATTAGAGGCCTTCTTCCCTTTTAACTGAAGAATATAAAATCTGCATGTCAATAAAGTTCTGTGTGCTTGAGGTAGATTAAGTGCTCTATTGACATTCTTTTTATGTTTAGTCTTCTTAAAACATTTAGAATTAGCCACTTCCTGCATCCTGTGGAAAACTGTATTTATTAAATAAAATATAGGTCCATCTACAGAATCACACTGTCCTTGGGAAAAATATATTATCCTCCTATTTGAAGTGACTGCTGCTAAGATGCTTCTTGGGAGACAAAGTAGGGTGAAACAGAGTGTTGTGGATCAAATCATTGCTCTGCTAAGACTCCTAACAGCAAATTCAAGTTTCCAGAAGAGAAGCTTCCATATCACAAGAGGGTTGGTGAGTGTAGCTCTGTTAAAGATTCTTTTAAATGGTCATTTGAAATCTTTATGGTTCAAAATGTTCTCTGTGGTTGCAACCTATCTTAGCAGTGTATTAAGCTTGGGATCTTTAGCCAACTCATCCGAATTCTTCAGACATCTATTATCTTTACTGTCTTGATATTCATAGTATCAGTACTGGTGTTTGCATCCAAATGAGAGAATTCACTTTTGAGTTTTGTCTTTCTGGTAGAGGGTTTTAACAATGCCAAAGTTTAGTTGTGTGCGCCTCCCCATCCATCATTAAGTTGATGAGAGGTTCAACAGAAATTTCTGTTGAAATGTCAAATAATCTATTGCTCAAGGAAAAAAGTGACTGACTTTGGAACAGTAATTCTCCACTGCTGCTATGTGATTTCTGGCTGGTCTTAGAAAAGGAATTTCAGGAGCACTATTATATGAAATCTAGCTATTATGTTAAATGTCCATGCACAGAAGTGGAATCAGAACTCCTGGTAGAGGTGATATGTTTTATTAGACCAACCAGATTTTTGCAAAAAAAATTAAATCTTTAATTGCAAGCTTTTGGGCACAAGCACCCTTCTTTAAGCATAGGAGAAAAGATTGTAAATGTTCTCCCAGGTAGAAATGAAAGTTCATATTTCATAGGAGAGTAATGCACATATGTAATATTCAAAGGAATTTCTGGGATTTTTAGGGATGTCTGACCAGATGATGCTTGAGCAGTTACATGAGTGAGGAAAGATGTTTTCCTTGCAACAAATGCTATTATCTTCCTTGATATCTGTGATCTCATCTAAATGCAGAAGTCACTGACATGGTGATTGCTTTACATTCACCAGAAATCTAAGTTTCAATCTTCTTTCTACCCTAAAGAGCTATCTCTTTAAACAAAGACCTTATGAGATCTTCCTCTAAGTAGGGATAAATTGTAATTCCCACTTTTTGAGAATGATTAGTAAAAATACAAGGAGAAGACTGGTGTGGCAATCACAACTCCAGACAAGAGAGACGAATAATGAAAATGTTTTTTGTTCTAATGAAAGTGTAGAAATGTTAATGCGTCTCTGGCACATTCACAGAGGCCTCCTTGTGAACTCAGTGAAGTCATGAAAGCCTGGGGTGATACAATAGATGATGATAGACTTTGGGGTTTCTGTTCAGACCTGTATAAACCTGGTGAACTTGTTGACAGACTTGCAATATAAGATGGCTATTATCCTCTTATTCTGTAGGACCACAAAGAATTTTGAATAAGCTCCACAAAATATCTTGCTATTGGCACAAGGCAAGACCTGAGAAGGTGTTTGAATGCTTCTATTTTTTTGGTGTGTCTGGCTGTTGGTCTAGGATGATTTGTTAACAAAGAATTGGAAGGGACCAGCTGGCTTATTGAGTCCAGTCCTCTGCTATACAGCAATTATGTAGTGGATGTTTTGTCCACAGCAGGATCTGTTTCAGCTCTTTCTGCAGATTACAGCCACAAGCCACCTTCTAACCCTCATGACAGCCTGAACATTTTTATAACAAGAAACCAGAATTTTAAAAGTAGCATTGCAAAGGAGAAGAGGAGGACAAGGATGCCTATCCTGCCTCAAGCTCTGAAGTGGCAGGACATTTCTTACATAAAATATTCCTACATAATCTTAGGAAATGAGCCACGTGGGAACACTACAAAGAAAGAAAGAAAAAAAAGCCCAGGCCCCTTTAAGTTCAATGACAACCTTGTGGAATGATCAAAAGTCTCGGTCATATGCAGCCTCATATAAAAGAAGTGAGACACTGAGTTAGGCAGATGGTTCAAGAAACTTCCAAGAGAACCCTATTTGGAGTTTCTTAATCTTTTGCAACAGGCCCTTTTTCTCCCTCTTCCAGATATCAAATCTCTCAGCTTCCTATGGATAGGTAACTAAAAAAGCCCCCAAAAGTTAAAGATGCATAACGAAGGTAAAGATGCATCTTGGATCAGTATGACTGAAGAGACTTGGTGTTTCTGTAGACTCCTTTACAGCTGGCTATTCTGCTCTTCATGCTGTTGAATGGGCAGTAGAGGAAGTCGAGAAGCAAAATCCACACCCATATGGCCATGCCATAATTGACAGTGGGTAACAGGTCTGTTCCATCTGCAATCCACCTGCTCAAGACAAGTCTGAAGCAAACCTGCCTCTGAAACCCTTGACCAATTGTGCTAATTTAGTTTTAAAGTAATCCTAGGAGCCTCCATTTAGTCGAGTTCATATTTTTTTTTTTATAGTCCTATCCTGAAATGAGCAGTTATAAAGAGGAGATCTGTAGTCTGCAGAGGACTTGGGTTCTCTACTGAAGGGTAGTCCTGGCCTCAGGCTAGCAGTCAGTCTTTGCCTCTAACAAAAAGGGATAGTAGGAAAATCCAAGCTGTAGCATGTCACACATGGAGGATTTCAGAATAAGTACTTTAAAAAAATCATGATTTCTCAAGAAAACGTGCTTAATTTCATTCATATTGAGAAACTGAAAAAGTTCTGACACCTTGATTTATTCTTTAAAAAAAGTAAACATAGTAAGGGTCATTGTAATTAACTGTTACTATTTCCCTCCAATGTATTACATTAATCTTAATTATTAGTAGGGACCCACTTAATTTGTGGTTTTATGGAAACTGAGAAATCAACAACAAAAACTTAATAAAACTAAAATGTTGGCTCCCCAGTGAGGGCAGCCTGCTATCTAAGATGGCAGCTATGCCCTTGTCTCCTTCCCCAATGTAGGAGTAAATTTAGTCAGGCTTCTGGCCTACTTGACTAGAAAAACAGAGACCAGAAGTACTGATACTGCTTATTTCAGTTATATGTTTTGAGATAAGAAATCCCGCATGTCTTATTACCCTGTGCACAGGTGTCCAATTAAGTATACTTGTTTTAGTTTCTCCAAGGTTGTATTTTTTTTCTCTCTCTCTCTATCTGTCGTAAGTATAAAAATGCTTGAAAACTTAGAGAGGAGGAGGATTCCTTTGAAACAAACAAGTGGGTGGTTCCCCTTGCTGTATGAAATCCTCCCTGTGATCACAGTATAGCCCTAAATAAAAAAAAGCTGGCTCTGTCAGTTCTGATTTAACCACAACACGAAGTTTGAGTTCTTCTACACCAGGCCTCTTCACCCATCCATGCTAGGGGACGGGGCCACTAAAGATGTTTGTGAAATTGGCTCTGTGCGTCACAAGTGGACAGTGCAAAACCCTTTGTCTTGCCGCAATTCCGTTAGGTTCCTAATTAGCAGCCATCTTAAAATGTGAATATCTGCACACACAATAGAAGACCCAGGTATGTTCCCTGTAGTTTGAAAAAAGGAACATGCATTTTATATTATGCATGTTTGTTTATAGTACCCAAGTCTTTGAAAGTTATGACAGAAGCTGATGTATCTTGATTCAGTAGCTGTTTTTCTCCTCAGCTCTCATACATTGATTTAGCCCAATGTGTAGGGAATTAAAGGGATTGACCTTCTCTGTTGAAGTGGTGCCATTTGTGTGTGTACGTTTTGACTTGAGTCCAGCATTCAGGGAGTGAGTTGAACAGATAATATTTGGGGCGGTTTGTGCCCAGCCTTGGCTTGAAGTGAGTACTGTCACAGAAAACTCCCCTTAAAGTGGTTTTGCTGAGTCTCTAGGGACTTGCATTGTAGGGAACCTATGGCATTGCCTAAGCAATTCATCTTTCACTGTGACGGTGCTACCACATTAGAATAGGTGAGTAGTGTTGAAATGTTATCATATGTGGCCATTAATGGGTAGAATATTGAGCTCTGCCAACTTTACTTAAGAGCCTTAACCTTAGCATGATTAAGAAAAGCTAGTCTCTCTCTTCCCAACAATGGTTTGTTTACACAACCTTGGAAAGCCCTTTCGCATGTTTCTGTTTTCAGTTTTTATTGTGGATTTCAGCAGAAAACCAATAGCAAAAGCACATTATGGTGCACTACATGGCTTCAGCTGTAGACTAATATGAGACAAGCACCTGGGTGCTGCAGTCAGGGTTTCAGTCAGGTTAAAGGTAGGAAAAGGGAAATTATTTCCAAAATTATATTGGTAGAACTCTTCCTATGTGAGGTATATACAGTAGGTTTTTTGCATTGTTACCAGGAGCTTAACTATACATTAACAGGGATGCAGTTTGAAATCTATTTATGAAATACTGCAACTGGTCCATAAAAAACTATCAAAGAAAGCTTGGTGAAGCTAGCCGCTTTACTTGAACAAATATGGCTCCTTTATCTATGTACTGCAGTAGACCTGACCTTCCTTTTATAAGAACTATTAAAAGGTGTATAACTTGGTCAAAAGCAAAGTAACTTTCAGTGCTGTATAGAATAGTTGCAGCCTACTGTTTTTTGTCATAATATTCTGTAGTTAACGAGAGGATGGATGGTGACAATAGCAATGTGTTCTGATGAAGATTACTATCGTAGATTATTGCTGCTGTTGGTATTAAACATTTCAATACTTGCCCAAGCCATGTACATTGTCTTTGGGAATATAACATAAAGCTTACTTGTGTTGCATAGCATGTGTTTAGCTCTCATTAGTAAAACATTAATAATCATCACTTGGCAACAAGCCATTTTTAAGACTCAGAAATGTCCTATACTGACAGTGGCTGATGATTAGGTTCTTTTAAAAAGTAATTTAATGGGCTCTCCACATACACCTAACATTTTAAGTGGTCAGTAGACTAGCTCTACTTTTATAAGGTTGGATGGAAACCAAGATCCAGCTTATCTTTATGGCCATTTTTCAACAGCACAGAACCACAGTCTCTAAAACAATGGTCATTCTTTACTCTGGAAATATGTGGTAAGACAAACATGCAGAGATGGAACAATGAGAACTTGCATATACACCAGGGAGAAACTGACAGCAAGTGTTTTAATAATCCATAAAGAACAGAGGTCAGACAAAGCTGAGGGGGGAAATGTTATTTCAGGTTTAGTAAGCAATTAGCAATCATGGTCAGTAGTTGCAAGGTTCTTTGAAAAGTCGTAAGTTGCCCTCCTGACAATTCTAAGCTGCATAAATATATAGAAATGTGTTAAACCAGAATTAAGTCTTTTCTGAGTACATATGCCAGTTTTGCTCATAGGCAAGACTTAGGTGATAGATTTGTAATGTGTAAAGAATAGTAGTAAGCAACTACTTTTATTCTGTCTATAACAGCATGTAAACAGTTTTCCGGTATATATGCCTACATAATTCCATAAATATATCTAAGTTTATTATTATGAATTCTTATAAACTGTACACAATTATGCAGATGGAAAGAATATGAAATGTAATTGATGCAAAATATGTTTTTAGAATTGTTAAACCCAGTAGGTTTACTGTATTTCCTTTATCTAACATTATAAATACCTTTTATTACATTTTGATGTCCAACGTAAGGACAAATAACTAGGGCTGTATATTTGCAAAACCAAAATTAAAGCTGCTTTAGAGATTTAGTTTAACTCTAGGCACTGTGATAGACCCATACATCTTTAATCATTGTTAAAGTCCTCAATTGTTTAGGTCTTGTAAGGCAACTTTCCCGCACCAGTCTTGGGTCTTTGCAGACATACAGAGCACCTTACTGTATAATATTTCTGAAACGATTATTTTTCATCATTTTTCAAAGAGGATTACAAAATACAGTTAGGGATAGGTTATATTTTCTACACATGGTATCCTGAGACTGGTTTTAGATTGTATTTTCAAAATTGCTCACCTAGCTTTAATAGTACCGATCATATGAAACACAAATTTTTAAGTGCAACTATGAAAGCATCCTCGATAAATAATGAATTATCCCCTTGCAGTTTCTTTGCACTTCCATTCTTATCTACTTCAGTGGGGCTGCTATCAATGTAGGCAGAATGGAGTTTGATTTCAAACTTTTAGAAGTTCTTTATACATCTCATTTTAGATGCTATAGGTATACCTTAAAACAAATGCGTCCTCTTATCAGTCCATAAGGAATAGGTCCATAACACCTGGAATCTTTAGAATTCCTGAGATTATCACCTTCCAACCATACATGTCCTTTTGGCACCTACAGTTGGACAAGATCAAAATAAAAGTTTAAACAATAAAGAGAATAATTTATTTAAAGGAAAGTGAAGAATTTTTCCTAAGATATATTTGATAAAACTTAACACTTGTTTCATTGCCATTCAGTGAATTAATAATTTTACAGTCTCTGTTATAACAGTGCCAGATTTAAAAAAAAAAGAAAGTATTTTGAAGTATCTCTTCTATCACGTGCTCCCAAAACACTAGGTTGCAACTAAAAATCCAAAATGAAGATGTAAGAGGTTAGACCAATGTGACAGGGTCATTAATTTAATAGACTTCAAAAGAGGTCATTAGGATGTTGACTGAAAATCTGCCCTCCTGTCGCAGTAACAGCATGAACAGGGCAGCCGCACACTCATCAACATCCTGGGGCCAGCACCAAGGCTAGACCTGTTAGTAGGCTCATGATGAACTAAATGGTAATTGATTGTGACATCAATTACGAATAATCTCATCATTTTATCGGAGTGGGCTTGTCAAAGTTCTAATTAAGATCACAGTTCATTCTGTGTGCAGGAAGAATCCACAACACATTATACTGCAATAACAACCATCACAAAATAGCAAGTCTCTTTTTATAATTTGAAAATTAATGATGGTGACCTTATATGATATGACAAAGACCTTTTATTGCTTATATGTACTATGCATTAACTATATACATTGGGATTAAGAAGAGGGCACCGGTAATGTAGGGCCCCTGCTAGACTCAAATGGTAATCTTGTGGCTACGCCAGATGAGAGAGCCAAAATTTTTAACAAGTTCTTTGCCTCTGTTTTCTTGGACAAGGACCAGGATAGCTCTCCCACCACAGGTAGGGGCAATCTTGGGGATAGCACTGCCAGGCCTTGGGTCTGCGCAGATGTAGTTAGGGATCTTCTGGAAGGGCTGGATGTTTTCAAATCTGCAGGCCCCTATGTCCTCCACCCATGGGTGTTGAGAGAGCTGGCGGGAGGCATTACTGTGCCCTTGGCCCAGCTGTACGAGCAATCGTGGTCCATGGGCCAGGTGCCTGGAGATTGGAAATTAGCTAATGTGGTCCCCATTTATAAGACAGAGAGAAAGGAGGACCCAGGAAACAATAGGCCCATAAGCCTCACATCAGTCTTGGGGAAAATCCTTGAAAAAATTATCAAGCATCACATCTGTGAGGGGCCAGCAGGGGAGATCATGCTCAAGGGAAATCAACATGGGTTCATCAGAGGCAGGTCCTGCCTGAAAACCTGATGGCCTTTTATGACCAGGTAACTAAATCCCTGGACGATGGTGTCGCTGTGGATGTAGTCTTCTGGATTTTAAGGAGGCCTTTGGCACTGTCTCTCACCCCATTCTCATTAATAAACTGAGCGACTGTGGCATTGATGCCTACACAGTTGGATGGGTCAAAAATTGGCTGATGGGACGCACGCAGAGAGTGGTGGTGGACGGGTTGTACTCGACCTGGTGGGATGTGAATAGTGGGGTCCCCCAGGGCTCAGTCCTGGGGCCTATGCTGTTCAACATCTTCATCAGCAACTTGGACAAGGGGGTGGAAAACATGTTGTCCAAGTATGCTGATGACACGAAGATGTGGGGAGAGGTAGGCACGCTCAAAGGGAAAGAGAGGCTGCAATTAGATTTAGACAGACTACAGAAGTGGGCGGATGG